TTCGCCAAATGCGAACGATCTTCACTTAAGTCCGTGAAAAAAATTAATAATGTCAGAGACTTCGAACTAAAAAATATTCACGCATCTTAAATGCATACGCGTTCGAGTCAAACTGTAAAAAGAGTTTGATTAATGCAACTTCTGGAAAAATAGACGTTACTTCGAATAACTACTCCGATCCCTTGAAAACTTTTTAGAATTACCTGTTGTCTGAATCTTTTTAATTCGTTTCTATCCCACGCTGATTCCTATGCATTTCATGATGTGTGACTGAACGTTAATGGAAAACGTATATGTCCCTGATTTTATCAAATTGACACGAATCAGCGGTGAAAATATTTACAACTCCACGTTTAAAACGTTTTCAGCTTATATATTGAAAGATGTTAAAGGACTCCTTGTCTTGGGAAGTTCACTGAAGGACGCTAAAGATTGATTTCTATGCTTAATTAATTCAGGTAATCTTTATACAAGAATAAATCTGTAAAACTGTCATTTCGTTAAACTCAAGCCGTGTTGTTTGACAGATAACACCTTTGTTAAATTAACAATTGCTTCTAAGGTCGTCGACCAGATTTCAGTTTTTTTTGGCGCAAACGAGTTTCCTTTTAATACAAACCATCCATGAATCAACCACCCTGAACTTTTTGTAATATGAGGGATTCCTTTTTATACAATAACAAAACAAAGTATGGTGAAAACATGACCTACTTCTAAAACCTAAAATCTTCAATAATTTTAATAAAAGCACGTGTACTATTAACAATGAGAAACTGACGACAAACACCTTTGAAATGCAAATAAAAAGTAGTACCTCGCTTTTAATGGCAATATACGATCAAAATAATCCTTTGAAGTATGAAATAATCCATGACCATAATGTCTAGTTAAGGCTCTTTGAGATCACAACTACCTATGAATAATCTTTCATTCATTCGTCTGATTCACTAAGGGTGTTAAGAACACAAATTTAGATTTATTAAGGTCTAGACTCTTTGGCAATGGTGAATGAAAGTCAGATACATATTTTTTCAAGATATTTTTTTCCGACGTATCCCTAGTTAGTAACTGAATGCTTGCAGAATGATCAGTTTTCAGGTTTGGTGGAAAAAAACCTTAAGAAATAAAAAGACTTAAGTCAGTAGAAAAGTTTGTCTTGAGATGCAGGAGATTTAAAAATTAGGATATAGATAGCAGGACGACTAAATTAAGTCGTTGCAATTGGTATATGAAGGAACTTTTGATGTGTATTGATCAGTTTTGTAATTAAACGATATTCTCACAAAAGTCCAAAGTACAAAGAAGATTTAGTTACACTCGCGCTGTAATTATCTTTTTAGCTGGTGCAACTGTTATGAAAACAACAGTCTTTCCAGGACAATTTTCTTCCGGACTGTTTGAGGGAGTAATTGAAGTTCAGTGGTTTAGTTTGAACATATATAACTTTTGATCGATGATGTGCGTTGTCAGTTAAATTAAAGAGAAACGAGAGTTTTTCATGGGTTTCGCTGGACTCTCAAAAGAAACGTAAATCTTGCTAGCACTGGTTAAAATCAGAAACAACTAACACAAATGATTAAATATCTAAAATCAGCATTTCGATATGAAGCCAGATACCAACAGAATGTAAATGGTTTTCTCCCAAATCATTTCCCTCTTGCTACGTGTCTTGAATATAAAGGTAGCTTTTACTAATCTTCACTCCTCTATCCATGCTTAAACATGCTTTCCAGGAATACTTCCTGACGTCGTTTTTGCGGTCTCTTTAGATAGAAGATCCTAGTCATCTCAGGAAATGCTCGGCTTGCAGATGTTCTTCTGACCGTTTAACGTCTCCGGTCTTTTTGGGAAAGCGTTTATCTTAAGGCATTGTATAAAACTAATCACAGTGTTGTTTACACGTGGAGTCGAATTGGATTGAGATTCCTTTTCGAGTATCGATCGAGCTGGGAATCAAACCCTTGAGAGATGAGGAAAAGCTCGATATTACTTCTACTTGCGTTTGTTGCTCTGATCTCCAACTTGGCTAATGCCAACAGCATTGAAGAAATCTCGGAAAAAAGGTAAAACTCGATTTTCTGAGTTTCTCTATTTCTATGCAATTTGTTCGTCTTCTGATAATCAAAATCGATCCAACTTGAAGCCGATAAGATGGTCTTTCAACTCTGTTTTAAATAAATACTTATTGAAAAAAACAGGAGGTGAATAATTGAAATTCAGGATAAAATACTTCTTTTTTTTTTTTCTCAGACATAGAAGAAGACTCTGAATAATGAAAAAAAGCCTTTAACCCAGTTTTTTTCATGTTGCTTCTCGAGACCCACATATCATGCTACATTTTGAAGAAACTGGGTGTAATTTTGGATTCATCCTTAAATCTTGAATCACACTTTGACATAATGTATAAAAGAGCAGCTGGTAGATTTACAGTCAAACTAAGTGAAGCGTACCCCTCAGGATTACATTAATTATTTGATCATTTGAATATTGAACCCGCTAATCGTTTCAGGAGCGCAATAACGAGTTGAATATTTGAACATGGAACCCGCTAACTGTTTCAAGAATGCAATACTGGATTGATTATTCGAATAATGAACCCGATAGCCGTATTCGTTTTGAAAGGCGCGGATCATTGTTCAAATCAGAAGTCCATTTCTGATTGGATTATGCGAACGCGTGATGATGGATCAGAACTATTTCAACATGGCGTCAGACATGGGAGGAATGGTGAGCTCGAGTGTTGTGTAGAACTTCTTGTAAATGTTGTAAATGGAATATTATCGAGAGCTTTTTTCGCCTATTTACATCTTGACGAACTTGTAGAAATTCTTGTGTGTATTCATGGTCGAACAAAATAGTTTACGGGCGAAGCCATCGCAAGACATTTTTTATTTCGTTAATATCTGCGATCGACTGTTTTCGCAGTGTTTTTACAGTGCAGTTTGTTCATTTTCAGGATTCCTCGTCAAATAGAACAATCTTATTGGACTGCAGAAATGGACTTCTAATTTTAACAAAAGTCCGCACCTTTTCAAAACGGATACGGCTATCGGGTTCAATATTCAAATAATCTCAATATTCAAATAGTCTCCTGCAGGGTTGGGGTAGGAGACGTTAATTTCCCACACACGAGATTACTGTGTGATGGATGTCCTCCCCTGGGGTGGGATGGGTGGGATATTGGGCGCACTTAATTTGGAGCCTCGCTCTGTTGTGCTACCCTCACCACACTCTGGTGAAAGTGATTAAATAATCAATCCTTTATTGCATTCTTGAAACGACTGGCGGGTTCAATATCTAATTGATCAATTCATTAATGTAATCTTGAGGGGTACGCCTCACTTAGTCTGACTGTAATTTACTCAGGAAAATCCGACCTTTAATCGACAAGAGCAGTGCCGAGAAAATCTACAAAGCAATGATTCAACCTGTTTTTACATATTGTGGAACCCTGGGTCTCTCTTCGTCACGTTCCTGTAAGAGTCAAATCAAAAGCATTGAACGTCGAGGTCAGCAAGTTATTGGTGGAAATTACCAAGTCCAAACAGTGGAGAGTCTAATAAAGAGACAGTCCTGCCAGCTTGTATTTGACTGTCTTCAGGATAACGTCTGTATCACTTTTAAAGGATATTTCATCAAAATTGAACACAACATTAACACTAGAAACAACGGATGTTCACTAAATCTCTCCAAAGTCGAATTAGAATTTGGACGGAGAAGTTTTGCATTTCAAGGGGCTCTAGTTTACAACACTTCGCCTCGGCGTTTAAGAATTTTAAACTCAAGGTTTCTTTCAGTAAGAGTAATTTAAAAGAGTTTTTTCAATAGTATCCAATTAACTCATAACTCTTTTAAATCTTTTAAGTTAATGTAAATCTTAGATTTCTAAGAGTTATTTATCTATTTTTAATTATTTATGAGTTAAGTACAGGACCCTTTTGATAATAGTTTTTTCTATTAAGAACTGATAGGTTATCCTGTATAAATATTCGCGTTATTATTATTGCTATTATTATTATTAACTATTTCAAGATTGAACACTGCTTTTTCTTACACGTATATTGCACTGCGACCCTCAAATGTATTGAGACATTCCTTACAGCTGACTTAGGAAAAAAATTATAAATAACAAAAAGTTACAAAATCTGTCTGATCTATTCTCTGTGCGTTTAAAATAATGTTCGTTGGTTCAGTCAAGCAATAAAACCCTTTGAAACAGAAATCAAAATGTATGGAGCACCCACTTCGCCCTTTAAATTGGTGTCAGAGTATCGCGCTCTATAAAAATTCGAATCTTTTACTGAGAAATCTGTGTCATTAATAAAGTGACATGCCCCTGCAGATTACATTTTGGTATTTGATTTCCAGGAGGAGTATCGTGCAAGGTGTATCGCAGTCCATTTGATGTTTGTTATCATTATGTAATCATTATTTTTTTTATATCGTTGAATTTATGGAGGTGGGGATACTACTGGATAGTCTCAGCTTAGGGATCGGTAGGTTTTCAAACATCAATAATAAATAAATTCATTTAGTGAAGGTGATAAAGCTAAGTGCCTAAATCACTGTCATGGAAGTTCAATTTAGGAAAAAGGGAAAGCTGAAGTTAGTGCTGAAAAGGTAAATAATTAACTTGAAGTAGGTTCATAATCATCAATGACTCAAGTGAAAGGTCCAACTACAAAATGGAGCATCATTAGACCATGGCACCGAGGGAGAGGATGGGAGGGTGGGTGTAACAGTGGTTAATGCTATGGACTCCTGACTGATCGAGAGCTTCAGTTGCCTCGTCCAGCTCATTATGTTCTGTTTTAAATGGGAGACATGTTACTCTCATAGTGTCCTTCTCTATTCAGGGATATGACTGGTTAACCACAATCTAGAAGGAAAATGTGAAGAAATGGAAAAGAAAAAGGTCGTCAACTAAATCTTTCACTTTCTTCAATCGCATGAAAATTTATCAATTTTTTTATTCAATCACATGATAAGCGCACACGAGTTTACTTTGAATTGACATTGACATGCATGGCATACATATAGGTCAAGCGTAAGATAAGATGTGTTGCTAGTCATACTCTAAAATAATTGATGCACAGCCGGGAGTCGAATATATGTGGTGTGCAGTACTAACTACAAGGAATCATTTTTCTTCCATAGTGCACTTCACTCTGAAAACGTTTTTCTCTACCCAGAGGTATAAATGGGTAAACGCAACCATTATGGTTAATCTGATGTTTTTCTTTACGAAACGAAAACTGTCTTATTCTTACATCGATCCACGAAATCATTGTTTTTTCACAGTGCATTTAACAAGAAAGTATGAAAACTGGATACCAATACAGAAACGTTACTTGTACAAGAAAACCTTGTCATTTCATTCGAGCACCACGGTTCAAGAAAGTTTGTCAATGTTAATCAGAAAGAAACACTGAATGGCTACGATTACATTTCAAACTAGACTTGAATGTTCTTTATTCAAATTCTTTAGCGGAAGATCAAATCTCTTCCCTGCAACGTGAATATCAGTTATTGTGTTGTAAAAAATATTCCAATATAATAAATCTTCGTTTTTCTGGTTCCTTTGATTACTTGAGCAAAACATTCAGAAAGACAGAAATCAGCACCAAAAATATAGTGTCTACATCTATGGTAAATATATTTCCATGTCACGGTAAAGCCTGCTCTCACCACTACGAAAATACCCTTCATTACCCATGTTTTCCCATACACTACCATTACTTAAACATGGAAAAAAAACCCTCAAGCTCTGCTTTTGGCCTTGGCTAACTTCTGATATCAAGACTATTGTTTGTAAAGTAAACAATGTTATAAATGGAAATCAATTAACAAAAAACAACTATTCAAAGATTTAAAAAATAAAATGAAAAAGCTAGAATAACATCCAATATATATAAACTAAAGGACGAAAACCTGTGTACTATACTCGCTAAGACAACGACGCTTAATTTCAAATACAATCGACATTGAAATTATATTCCTTACTTTATAAACGTGCAATTGCAAGTTACCATAAATCTGTTAAAATGATGACCGATACATCTGAACGCACATATCCTTCGACTAAGAACTCAGGAAAACTTGTTGTTCCGTGTACCTTTTGAAAATGTCTTCTGCCGCTACCTTGCTTTTCGCTTCTGCTTCGTGTGGTGTCGTTTGCCTTCGGTGTTCATTTTCTTATTTATATTAGATCTGCAACAACTGGTAGCTCGCAGTCGACCAACGTGTCATAGATCTCTCCAACACTCAGGTGGCGATGCTTTCCCACAGTGCTGAGGACAACGTCAGAAGGATTTACAACCCTCTTGTCTAGAAAGCGAATAACAATTTGAGAGAAACCCAGCCTTTCTGCCAACAGCTTCCACTCTTCTCCACCAACGGAGAACAACGTATCATGCTGTTTTATAAACTGGCGCTAAATGGTGCAAATTTTTTCGGAAATGATCTGCAAACGCATCCGCAAAGTGCAATCATGTCGAGACCTAAATTTTTCCAAGCTCCTTCTCAGAGTCAAGAGATGTAACCTATGAGTTTGAGTTAAAGTGAAGACTAGTTTATGAAATTGGTGCACAGACGCAATCTTAATTTCCTACCCGAGAGGCTGAACGTCAAATCCAAGTATTGTTTGAATGGCATGCAACAAACTGACATATCCTCATTCAACAACGGCCCTGTAGAGAAAAACAAACAGAAAAGAAGATAAATGAGGTTGAATGTATTTTAAAAATCTCAAAACCAAATTAAAAATAAAAATACATTCGAGCCGATCAAAAGGGCATCAACAACAAAAACAACATAACAAAGTTAAGGACGCGTTGATATGATTTCAACGCTGCAGAGAAAGGACTTTTGCGCGAGTACTTCTTTATGTCTTAGAAACCTTTCCATTCCCTCCCGCGTGAAAACAAACTACATCTTCTTTACACTCACCAGTAGTACCAGCAGGTGTGATTTCTCGTAAGTACCTCACCAAGTCATCCCTTTTCTCAGATTTAGCTCTCAAGGCAAGGCCACGAATCATATTTTTCGTCTCTGGCTCTGGGCTGGTAAAAGATGCTAGTTCCACTTGCAGAGCTTCTCGAAACTGAATCACAATATCCTTAACATCAATTGCTGAATGGAGCGGAATGGACTGAATGGAAGATTTGACACTCTCGGGCAGCACAAGATCTTTCCGTTTCGATCCTTGAAATAACAAAGCTGAGCCAAAATAAAGTAGGACAGATTCAAGTAAATGGAATGTGATTCCCTAATGCCCAGAAATCTTGAGTTGGCTAAAGGTCTGTACCAGGGAAAAAATTTTATGAACAATTCTCTAAAATCATACGAAAGGGGATTTGCTACAACGACATGAAAAGAAAGGGCCCCTTACCTTCCACGGAAAATATTCCCTTCTCATCGAGAGGGCCTCTGTGACGCGTTGCATGAAGAGCTTGCACCTGCGAAACAAACAAATTAAACTATTTTCAAAAGCAATTACATTGAACTGAAAAAGTATTAGCGTCTCGTCACCTCGGGGATAATAATGGGATTAGCGACGTACCTGATTCGTTGATGTTCCGGTACTCTTCTCTTCTTCTCCAAATGAGAACCAACATTCGAACTGCTGGATCCGAATCCTGCAATCCCCAAGAAGGCTGCGTCTGTTGCAAAGTTGCGGCTTTTTCAAATCAGATTCTGACAGGAAGTGTAGACATTCACATCCACGTACGCTATGTTCGTGACATTTGACCGACCCTGGTTGAGAACAGACTGGGCAGCAGACACACATATCGTACTTCACGTTCTTGAGCCAGTGAAACTCTTTCCGCATGCATTCGAATACAAACCTCAATTTCCAGCGAACAGTACGAGATATATCTGCTCTTATCTGGTCATCGTCTCCGCTGTAAACGGCGACCTCGATGGATGAGGAATGGTACCAAAAAATAACGGAGATACCTTGTTCTGGAAGAATGCGAAACATGGCAAAATTATAAAACAAATGTGGGCTTATTTCGCTGTAACATTCTTCGCTACACAACTGGAGGAAAAATAGGGTAAGTCGGGAGAACAGACCAGGGGGCACTCGACCTGATGCAAATGTTACAAAAAGGCAAGGGATTTTTACAGAGTCGAGAAGCTGTAGGACGTCGTCTGTTGGGGGTGACTTCAACATGGATGGCACCAGGTACTGCTTGCTATCTTGACATGATGGCCAGGGGGAAAGCAAGCTTAATCTCTACATGATAGCAATAAGGCTCTTTTGACTTTCTTGGTTGTCGATCAAGTCTTTCCAAGCATGGTCTATGAGTCTTTCATCTAATATTCCAGTTTCTTCAAGTTGGATCCATAGGTCTTTGACAGGATGTTCCGTCCGTTTAAAACGCCTTACGGTTATAATGCTTTTGAGGACATCAACAAGCCACTGAGGATCTAATATCACCATCCTTTCCAAAGCTGGAGAGCCTGAGAAATGAATCACAATTCTCTGATCATGCAAAAAATTCATCAAAGTGGAAAACTCATTATCTTCTTGGATTCCACACTCTTCATTTGCAATCCTCTTGGCTTCATCAAGTGTTATCCACTTATCACACTTCTTGCGAAGGTTGTTTTCGTACCTCAACCACTTCACCGGAATTTCTTCTTTCGTCAGTTGCAGTTCCTTTGCAACAGCAAGAAGCTCTTCTCTCAGGCGCACTATCTCAATACATTCTTCCACACTCCCTGACTTTGTATTATCTACGACGAAAACATCTTTATACAGGTGTTCTCCATACGTCTTGCTTTGGAGAAAGCCATATAATTCTAGCGCTAGGTCTCTAGCTTTAGCGCCACCAAACGGCACGTCGGCATGGGTGCAAACTAGAAACACCGGGGGGAGCCTTCCCGGCAGAGTATCGCTTAAATATGGAGCATTCTGTTGGGAGCTGTTTACCTCTAGACCCGTCAAAGAATAAATCGATGACATCCAAAAGTCCAGGTACTCAAGGTTTGTTTTAATGCAGTTAGTGTCCACTTTATTCTTGAAAAGTCCTGTTTTGACAAGCGGGCTGGCTTTCTCGTTTGGGTCACGGCTCAGGTCAGATGTCAAAACATAGATGGCTTTCTCTGTGAGGAAAATTGGATGGGTGTCATAGTAAACGGACTGTCCTCCAAAGTCCCACAGCATTGAGTAGATTTGGTCTTCGTTTGCATTTTCTCCTTCACGAAGCAATTTTTCAACCAGCCTGGCTAGTTCCTCTGGCAATTTTCTTTGAGAAGATTTGGTTTCTTTAGGGGTTTTACGAAAGACTTTACGAACACTTTTTGTACTTGATACATTTAGAGATTCTGAGTTGGACTCTGACTCTGCCTCAGCCCCTGATAAAAGTGACTCCCCTTTCTTCAAACGATCGACGATCACCGTTGCTGCTGCAAGGTGTTCGAATGGAACTTCTAGCTCAGTTTGCATTTCTTCGCACGCTTGTCCGCTTTTCCAAGTCTCTGTAGATACTTTAAAGTATGAAGGGTCAGTCTCGATTCCATCTGTGCTTTCTTCTTCTTTGTCGAATTTTTCTCCCTTTAAGGACCTTTTAAGACTAGTTTTCCCAGTCCGCTCCTGCCCGATCAACATTATAGGTATTCTCTTTATGCAGGCCTTTCCTTCTGTTAGTGCTTTGTCATAAGCCTCGACAGCTTCAGGACCTCGAGCTTGAATTTCCAAAGGCACTGAAGATGTAATTTCAAGAATGATAGTTTAGCGGGTCATAAACTTATAGTCTGTGGCTCTCGTACAGCAGTAAGATAAATAGGTGTAAGTGGCCCTTAGGATAATAATAATTTCCTTTATGATGTTTTGTTGGTTCTATATCTTCAGAGTCCAGCAATGAAATATTGCATTACTTGCAAATATTCGAAAAATGATAGTATGACATATTGTGTAAATATATTCATCATTTACTTTTAAGTTATATTACGCCAAAATTTTTGTAACGAAGGTTATTTTTAGTTGGGATTTGCGTGACGTTCAACACCCTTTTGTTTTGTTCTGTTTTGTGTGACATACTCTCGAGTTGTCGGCATTATGTTTCATTCGACCACGAGACACGTGTTAGTCGCAAGCATACCCATATCGAAGGATTGTCGATATACTAGAATACTAGAACGGGGAATGAGGTATGTCATCTTATTTATTTTTGTATTTATACACCGAAACGTGTATAAACAAAGGTAGTTTTGTTTCGCTTAAGATATTTGTCTTCATTGATTTACCTTTATACACGCCCCGCGAGTTCTAGTTTAGGACATTTCGATTAGCGTCATTATTGCATGGTAATGACCTATTTTAATTTATTTTATTTCAGATATTACGAGTTTTCAAGTGATTAATAAACCAGTTGAGAATGATAGACGCTTGGAGGTTCCGTTAATATTAGAAATTTTCCCGACGCGGCGTTGTTGAATTGCATGATTTCTGTCAGTGTCCGCCCCATTACAAGTTTAGAAACAACATGATTGGTAATTATTAAACATTCAGCCGCCATGTTCCGTGAGTACTCAGGAAATAATTCATCTTCCTTTACGCTGAAATATAATCAAAATAACGATTTACTTTAGGGATGAAACCACTCAAACACCCTCTTAAATTGCTGAGAATCCCAACACCTGAGAAAACCTGTTGTTAATCATATTGCGCGCTTGCAGAGATGTATCCAGACCTTTTCTAAATGGAAAGCCATAGATGTACATGAAAAAGAGTTTGGATGGGTAGGAAGATTGTAAAAATGAGAATTATTACAACTTGTTATGGTAGATAATGGTTGGAGTGCTTGCCGCCTCTTCCTATCCCTTAAATGAAGAATAAATAACGAGTTACGTTGGCTGGCTTATTCTGTTAATTTCAAAATAATTACAGGCTCTCTACCAAAATGGATTCGAAAAAAGAGAACACACTAAATGGCATGGCTGGAATAATTACACGAAGGGGACCATAAATGAAATAATACCTTCTCCGTACTATAGAGAATCACTACTGACAGTTAGATGCTTCCTTGAAACAATTTGTCTAAATGAGCCAATGCATGGAAAGTTGGCAACGAAGGATTCAGCAAGCGAATACAAGAAAAAAACTCACCATTCGTTCAAAGGTACTTCTCTTTCCAATCTAGACATTAATACTACTGGAGAAAGACCATCCTGGTCCTCTTCAGCGTCCTCCTCTTCATCACTCGTGTGAGCTGGCGGTTCGTCCGCGTAAGGTTGGACTTGTTCAAGTACCTCCATTTCTTCCGATGAATCGCTGCTAAGCTGGTCATCGCTTGAAATCATAGATGCCGAAGATGATATCTGATCGTCACTATCAGACACACTTGCGTTTAAGCCCAGGAAATCGAAGCAAATAGAACTTTGACAGCGAGATTTTCGATCTAAAGCACACAAAACCATGTGTAAACAAAGCGCCAGAACCACCAACGAGGTCATCAGAGCCAAACTCGTTCCCAGTTTCCGGAAACAGCGATAGCGTCTAATTTATGGACTTCGAGCCACCAAAAAGCCGATTTAAATTTCCTTTCTTGAAATTTCTTTTGTCATTCCTTAATAAGGACATAATAAACTACAAAATTATGCAAAAACATTTACTTCATAGGCACTTTAAATCAAGTTAGAATTAGTAATTACAGCAATTTTCTACAACTCAAGTTTTTCTGTTTTTGTTCTGTTTTTATTCTTACATCATTGTTTAGCAAGTAAAAGGTTTTGTCTCAGAAGTTATGATAAATTATATTCAGCAATGAGCCTTTTCCAGGAACAATGCTCGGAACAAATGGAATTATATCACTAAGCTATGTCCATAAGCTCAAATGACTGGATGAATTATTTCAGCCCATTGAAATATAAATGTATTCACCAGAGTCTGTAAAAAAAAAATAATAATAATACCTATATAAAGTTCGAACTCAAAAAGGTTGACGCATGTTAACTGCGTACGTGCTCGAGTCAAACTGTACCTAGAGTTTGATCAATGTAACCTTAGGAAAAACGATATATTACTTTTGACTAACTATGGCGATCCCTTGAAAACTTATTATAACCTGTGTTGTCTAAATCTTCTTAAAACGCTTCATTCCCACACTGATTCGTATCCATTACATGATGTATGAATGAAAGTTCATCGCGGATTAGATGTCCCTGATTTTATCAAATAGACACGAATCAGCGGAGGAAATCTTTACACCTCCACGTTCAAAACGTTTTCAGTTTATATATATATTGCAAGATGTGTTTGGAAGAAAAACGTGTTGGGGTGGGCGCGTTTAAGTGGATTTCGACCGCTTGTTTTCGACCATCACTGAATTTATATAGTTTAATTCCACTGTCTTGATTCAAGTTAATCTCAGGCTTGTGAGGATGCTCATATTTCAAATTTCGAATTACGTTAAAGGACTCGTTGTTTTGGGGGGTCTTGCTGAAGAGCGCTTAAGACCGATTTCTATCCTTAAAACAGTTCAGGCAATCTGTATACGAAAGAAGTCAAGAAAACCTTCAATTCGTTAGATTCAAGCCGTATTGCTTGACAGATAACACTTCAACAATTGCTCATAAAACCGTCGATCGGAGGCCTGTTTTTTTTTTTTTTTGTATTTTGTATTCGATTTGGAGTGGGCGTGTTTTCTTTAATAAAAACCAGCCATGAGTCAACTACCCTGAAGTTTTTGTGATATGAAGGTTTCCTTTTTATACAAAAAGAAAAAAAATATAGTGAAAACACGACCAACTTCTAAAACCTAAAATCCTCAATCAATAAAAATTTTGATAAAAGCGCATGTACTCAATATTAACAAGGGGAAACTGACGATAAACATATTTCAAAGGAAAATGAAAAGAAGTACTTCGCTTTCAACGACAATACAATTATTCTAGAGTCTAGAAGCCAAAACAATCCTTAACTGAAAGTGTCGAGTAATTCATAACCTCGATGTCAATTAAGGCTCTACGAGATCATAATTAGATAACTTTTTTATTTATTCTTCTGTTTCACTCTGGGCGTTAAGAACAAAAATTTAGATTAAGGATTGGACTCTGGCAATGGCAAATGAAAGTCAGAGATTTTTCCGACGTAACCCTAGTCAGTAATGCTTGCAGAATGTTTTATCAGGTTCGGTCAAAAAAAACGTACTAAATAAAAAGACTTAGTAGAAAAGTTGGTCTTGAGATGTGTGAGAATAAAACAGTTCTTTCGTTTCAGGATCTAGATAGTAGAGCGACTAAATTAAGTCGTTTGTATAGGAAGGAACTTTTGATGTGTATTGATCAGTATCGTAAATTACACGATATTCTCACGAAAGCCCAAACTACAAAGAAGATTCAGTTGCACTCGAGCTGTAATTATCTTTTTAGCTAGTACAACTGTTATGAAAACAACTGCCTTTTCAGGATAATTTTCTTCCGGATTGTATGGGGGGAGTAATTGAAGTAAAGTGAGTTTAGCTTGAACATATATAATTTTTGATCCATGAAGTGCGTTGTCAATTGAATCAAAACGAAAAGAGAGTATATCACGGGTTTCGACTCTCAAAAGAAACGTCAACTTGCCAGCAGTGGATAAAATCAGCAACAACTAACACAGATGATTAAATTTCTAAAATCAGCTCTTCGATAGGAAGCTAGATACCCACACAGTGTGAATGGTTTTCTCCCAAATCATTTCCCTCTTGCCACGTGTCTTTTGAATATATAAACGTAGCTTTTATATTGTATTTCTTAGCCAAGCTTGGCTCAATGGTAGAAAACTATGGACAAAATGTGTTTTTATTAGTTTTAGAATAACTTACTTTTAAAGTTGTGTTTAAAGAAATAAAAAGCGCGCGAGAACGCAAGTAAATCATGTGGGACAGCAATCAAAAGGAATGACGCAAACACAAGAGCACAAGGCAAATGAAAATATCCATCAGATCTGCGACGAGGCAACTTAGAAACAAGGTCCTCGTAGAGTACTGGGCCTGAATCAAAAGGGCCGAAGTGTTTCGAAAGGAGAGAGAAAGAGGGATAATAATTCGTTATTTCCATTTCTGGAATTTAGGCTGAAATGATTTTCGAATTCCTCCACAATTACAATAGTTTTACTCTTAGCACACGAAGACAACTTTACTTTGGTATATGGAGAAGTTTGTTCTTTGCAGTACAAAGTGCCTAACTGAATGGTTTGCCATTAGGGGAAAGTAATGGATTTTTTTGCTCATTTTGTTTTGTGGTTGTTGTTGTTGTTGTTGTTATTTCCATAGTTTTTTGTTTTGTTGTCTATATATCTTGTCCAGGAGTGGATAAACATTCAGCTTGGCTGATCCGGATTTAAACATAAAGTCGGATTGATTGATCAGGTTGGAACATAGCGCATAACTACATAACCGTATACTGACACCCTGTCCAAAACATTTCCTTAACTAGATTTGCCTTGAACAATCTTCTCAGCCCTTGATAGATTACAATTACAATATTCTTGTATATTTATTGAATCTTTTGTTGAACCGAAATCTATGTAAGATGTTTTAGCGTCCACACACTTCCCGCCGAGACTAGCTATGCTATTTGTGGGTAGTGGTTGATTATGTTAAGTTAAGTTAAGTTTAACGCCATTACAATAAAGGAATAAAGAATAAAAAATAAAGAATAAAGGATCACAGGAAGGATCACAAGGATCACATTCTGGGAAGCAGATGTCAGTGGTGTATCCTGAGCATGGCTGAATTGGCAAGAGTTAAACGTTTGTATCCTATAACAACAGTAGATTAGAAATTTACTCCCACCTCTTCAATTTCCCAAACCTAAATGTCCATGGGCGAAAACCTTACCACCATCGTAAGAAATCAATATCTTTCCTATTATCAATCAATATCTTTCCTATTATCATTTAATATCTTTCCTATTATCAATTAATATCTTTCCTATTAACAATTAATATCTTTCCTATTATCAATCAATATCTTTCCTATTATCAATCAATATCTTTCCTATTATATCTCATTCTCCTATCGTCAAAGTAAAACAAGTTTGTCAAATTTATGTTGCTCCCTTTTTCACTCCTTCTTTTATATTGCATTACATTTAAGATGCACTTAATACCCATTATATACGCGATCCTCTACTTCACTTTAGTTTCGGAAAAAGATCCCGCACCTATTTAGGCTTTCATAGTATTTCCTGTTGGACAAGATTTTCATTTGATCCAACACGTATATTCTCAAAAGGTAAAAAGTCGTATACTGAAGCAATGATGAGGTACCTTTTTTCAATTTTTGCTCAGAAGGTAAACTTTCTTAACTCAAATTATGCACGACTTGAGAAGGAAACCTGCTGTTGTATACATCACTGAAAAAATGATGTAATGCCGTTGAGGAGTTAATTAATGATTTTTCTGGCTGATTTGGATTTTCTTAGCGATAAAGCACCAATAAAATGCTCGATGACTGACAGCCTCAATGCATAGCTTTTGTCATTTTCCAGAATCAACATGATAGCAGAACTTTCCACAGAAGAAAAAACACAAGCCAAAATAAGGTCTAAAAAAACAAATCCCATTAAGAGATTTCCCAACTGATTTTTCCAAAATACAATCCGTGAGTGAATAAGAGGTGTTTGATCCAAATTACCTCCAGTTTTGATATGGATGCCAAGTACTTCCTTTTCGTGCAGCCCGTCGTAAGATAACTATAGTGAGTAAGACGAGGTTTCTACTAAGTTTGAAGACGTTTATTGCTGCTCTGATTTTTTCGCAACCTTTATTAATTTAATAATGTTGGAAAGTTTAGACTTTCGCTTGTTCACACAAGCGAAATCAGTTTTTTTAAAACTAAAAAAAGAAGAGAAACGAGCGAACACTGTTTTTATGTTGAACCCCATGATAAAAGGGAATGACTTTAATAGGACAGATTTTAATGGTACTTTCGTGGTCTGATTTTATTCACTTTAAGACTGCCAAACGACAAATAGCCTATAGTATCTATTTTTTAGAAATATTTTAAAGAAAATAAGAGAAGGCTCTGCGGTGGAATATTTAGTGATAGCTGACAGTGATGATTTACTTAATTTTCAATCGATTCACCCTATTTTGCATATCCTGTTTGTGACAGATTTCAACTTTTGTTATCATGTACCGAATAAGAACTAATCGCAATTTATTCACGAGTTTTAAAGCCAAGCACATGTACAAATTCAATAATCCTTGTATTTTCATTACAACATTTCTCATGCCATACATATGGCTGCACATCCCTACATTTCTGCCACTCATGGGCCAAACGTATTCATTATAGTTCACATCTTTTAGCTTGCAGTGATATTTTTAAACCTTGTTGTTTTAATCGAATTGCCACTTAACAGGTCATATTAATGGTCAGAATTCGCCAAACTTTAGTGGTATGATAAAACTAAATTGATTTTATATCATT